GATTTTTGCCACATAAGATACAAATCTTAATAGTTACTTTATGTAGTTGCTCTGAGAACCAAATAGCATAATTTATTTAAAAGCACTTAACTGTAGATGCTGTAAAATCATCAAACCACTTAGGAACATCCATGTTACGTGTCAGGGCAGCAGCATACATTTCGCAGTGCAATCCACGGAGCAGGACATTGTTAACAAGGGAAGGAGGAGACAGTGTGTCTCGGCTGGGGTCATACTCTCAGCCATTACTGACTTGTTGAGTGACCGTCAGGCTGTTGTTACAACTCTCTGATGGAGATACCATCTTCTGGGGAGGTTAATATCTACCCCACTCCTAAAGTTGTAAGTTAAGTCAAGTAATAGGAGTGAAATTCCTTAAGATCGTCAAAATTCTGCTTCACACCCAAATATTTTAGTTGTCATTGAAGCCACAGATGTGTTGTGAATGCAGTGTGTCCCCAGCAGGCAACCCCTCTCCCCCACCAGAGCCTCCTAGTTCAAGCTGGCACTGGGATAGCACCTGGAACTGGACAGAGGCTGGCAGGCGGTTTCACCAGCCGTATCTCAGGTGTGCAGGCCCTGTGCCCACTGGACTTCTCCGGTGGAGAGCAGACTGTGCAGTCAGTGGAAGCTGATTCCATCTCAGCACCTTTCCGCTGTCGTCACTGCGTCTTTCCCATTTTCTGTTCCAATCATGATTTTCCCCATTCACAGGACCTGCGATTTCAGGGATCCCTTCTCCTGTCCTTGCCTGTAGTCACCTTCCCCAGATGATGCTCCCCTCTCCCTTCCCTGATGCCTGCTCTCCCACCACGTGCCCGCTTGGTTTTCTGGCCCCTCGCTGTATGCACCTGAGGAGGGTGCTGTGCTAGAGCAGGTGATGGCGAAGCCTAGAGAATGGGAGCGACAGGTGGGACCAGTGCTCAGAGAAACATCCTGGTAACAGCACCCACCGTCCTTTCTGCAGCCCAGGAAAAGCCAGCATGAGAAAGAATCGTCAGAATAAATGGCTTTTTGCTGAGCCCCCAATATAGAGGTCTCTCTTCAGAAGTGGGGTGGCTTAGCCCATTGGGATATTTTTTACTTAAACTTTGGGGAGACTCTGCATCTGTTAACCTAACAGTATCTTTCTTCCTCTCTCTTTTTTTCTCCCCGGTTGTCAGTCATGAGAGAGTGTCAGTGCTGGTCCTTGAGGAGTGAAAAGTGGCCCGTTAGAGAGCATGCACCCCAAATGGAGAAAAGCACATGCGCTCACTATTCTCCCACCCAGGGAATAGTCAGGACCCAGCCCCCCCTCAACTCCTCTACTTGATGTCTGGTTTCTCCATCTCCAGAGCTCAGTTGTTGCTCGCTAAGAAATCATCTGTCTGTGCTATTTGCTGACATTTTATTCATGGCACTACTTTTTTCCATTAGCATATGTAACTGAGAGTAGACTCCATACTCTTAACTCAGAATTACATAGCTGCAGTATCGATGATCTGAAATCACTTTTTTTCAAATCCCGAGTTGGCTTACCCACACCAATCAAGTCGTTTCTCCGTAGGTTTCATTTACCGTCAGTCCCTTTGTGCCAAAGGGAACAGCTGAATTTTTCTTAAAATGGTCACATACTCTCTGCTAAGTGCCTTATCTCTTCAATTTTCAAAATACCTTCACAAGGCAGGTACTTACTGTACCATTCTCAAGTTACAGATAAGGAAACTGAGGCTTAGCGAGGTTAAGTAACATGCCCAAGTCACTCAGCCAAGGAAATTGAATTCATATCTGACTCCTGCATCTGATTAGCCCCAAAATGAGTCATTTTAAAGCTAAGGGGCTTATATGAGCTTCCCCCTCACATTATAATTCTAGTGTCTGTTTTGTACTTTGTGTATGTGTATGTGGGTGTGTTTGCTTTGAATCTAACGAATCAGACTTGTCATTTCTGGCCAGAGGTTCAGACCTGGAAAACCATCCACAACCACTCATCTTAGCTTCATTTCTCCACACTGAGAGCAAGTCAGGCCATGTATAATGTTGAAAGCCCTTTGGGGATCGCTATAAGTAATATTCAGGAAAATACTGGGAAAGGAAAATGTTAACATTTCTACTGAGCGATGTTTCAAACCCAAACATGTAGAAACGAGAGCTGTGGATACCTGACTACTCCGAAAGTGCACCCGTTTAGTAAGACAGCCCCTGAAATGCCTGTGTGCCGCCAGCACTGCACCTTCATAGTCACTGAGAACCTTTCCTTTAGGTGCCTTCTTTGCAAACGTTTTCTCGTTGACTGTGATGCCATCTTTTGTGGCAGAGCAAGGAACACACTACTTGGCCCTGTTTAAAATGTGGGACTGCTGATGCATTGGGTGATTTAAGCAGGTGGCCCTCAGGTTATACACGGACAAGGCCGGCACTGGAGTCCTCGGGCTGTGGGCCACCATGGGAAGAAGGCCACCTAATCTGCAAAGGACCATGGCAGGTGCTTGGTCCTGCTCCCCACTTTCAGAGGGGAAACAAACCCAGAGAGATGAAAACACTTAGAAAATCCAGGGCCGCATGGACAATTAATGGCCAAACCAACACTGGGGTGTAGACAACCAACACACAGATCTGTGCACTGGGGTGTAGCCAACCAACACACAGATCTGTGCTATGAAGGGAAAGATTACAACTGGGAAGGATCCATTTAAAGTCAGATTAGAAGGGTGTGAATGCAAAAAGCCTTCCTTGGTAAACCTTGCCTGGAGGAATAATGCACTAGAAGAAGGTGAACATTTCAAAGGCATGTTCTTTGTCTGTGTTAAAGAGCTCTTTAACATAGACAAAGTTTCAACTCCCCAGCAGCCAAAATACCAGCTGGTACTTCAGAAGACATGCTTTCCATTAAAGGTGACAGGTGGACATGTTTTAGAAGATAGTTGGCCGGCCTCTCATATAGCCTGTAGGAAGTGTACCCAGAGTGCTGGGATGGCAAAGACCAGCTTGGGTTCTAAATGTGTTTACAGCTGACAGAAATGTTTCAACTAAAAATAACATGCATAACTCTCTCTCCTAGGGAGTCTCTCATTTCAAAAAAAATGTATCTACGTAAACACCATGCGGAGGCTGAAGTCTTCATTCAGGAATGAGGCTTCCTGAAATTCCCTCATTTGGGTTTAAAAGTAAAGTAAATGTTTCTCTTCTAACCCTGTGATCCTATGGATCATACTGCCCCATGGGTGAGAACGAGGGACAGGAAATCGGAAGAGAGTTTGGACCGGCGGGAGGCAGGCCAAGATGTTTGTGAACAAGCAAAGAGTTCAAAGGTCCATGAAATTAAAAAATGCGTGGGGTAATTCCTGAACAAAACAGCCATGTCTTACAATTGTGTACTTCAGAACATACCCCTTTATGTTCACAAACACAATAAGGAGGCTTTCTGATGGGATAAGCTTTCGTAAAACATGAGCGGAAAGCACCAAGGAGCCTGGCGTGTCGTCACCACTCAATGCGTGGTGACTGTTTTCATCGCCATTATTACTGGACACATCCAACCTCTTTTTTGTAATGGAAGAAAAATGGACACACGAGGCACATGTTTTAATGGAAGTTAACTGGAATTTAAGAAATAGATTTCCTACCTTGATGCATAGTCCAGCTGTTGAAATATTACCCTAGAGAGCTTCAAAGGCCGTGGGGGGTAGGCTGGGTTGTGGAAGAGGACATGGAAGGACTCTTCTCGGAGGAGGGCAATGAGAAATGAGGTGGGAGATGGAAACACCTTAATGTAGTCCACCTCACCTGTCAGGAGCAGAGCTGAGAACAAACAGCACCGACAGAAAGCAAGTCTGCATTTATCCAGAGATGTCCCAGGCCTGTGGACGTTCCTTAGAGCGGAACACCTCGTGTGGCCCTTCGGTGACAATATTCATACATTCTTTACTGTTTTTAACAAGCTTGATGGTTTGGTTTCTAAGCACACCAAAGAAGTAAAGTGAGGAGAAAGAAGAGTTTCAGCCAACAGACTAGGAGCAAAGGAGAAAACTATTTTTAAAATTGACCCCAGAGTTCAAAAAAAGCATATGGAAACATTTAATGGACAGGGGGAAGAGGGAGGGTAGTGTTGTAACAGGAATACCATGCGAATATTCCCACACCACGCTTGGTGGTCTGCAAAGTGATTTCATATGTTGTTTCATGTCAACACCAGCACAGGGAGGTACGTAGGACTGGGTACCGCAGGGGCATTTGAATATCTGTCCGAGTGGTGTGCCATATGCTAGGGCCCGGGTTTGAACAGGACTAATGGGGAGCATCATGTTGCTCACCACCCACCCAACTTCCACACCAGACAGGGCCCATCTGCAGTTCAGTGCAGTCAAGACAGTTAACTCTCAAGTTACATTTTAGGGAGGTTTGTGTCTCAAATAGATAAATTTAAAAGTGTATCTCTTCAGAATGACTAATTCCTATGTTGGCCAATATTTGCCTGACGTAAAATCAAGGCAGGAGTATGTTTACTAGATAGACTACTAGAAATGGAGAATGTCCCCCAGGAGCCAAGCTACGTGATCACTGTGCTTGGTTCCCAAACATTGTAGAAAACCCCACATTTCCAAACAGCGTCCCTTTCTCTCTTATTTCTTGTATGTGTTTGATGAAGTTCATGGGAAACCCATAGTTAAATCCCCTAATGTTGACACGGAAATGACCCCCTTAAAGTAGCCCTCCCTTTTCTCCACAGGATGACCTTTGAAGACTTTTAGTGGGGAGTGTCTTGTAGCTTTCCAAGAAAGCCATTTCTGGCCCAGGGAAACAGAACTGCCCTGGCATCGCCCTAAAGCAAGGTTTCTCAGCACATGAGAGTCCAGGAAGGACTGGATCTTTCCCAATCAAGAGTGATCCATTAACAAATCAGACTTTATTTTTCTTTAATTTTTTGTTTTTGTTTTTTGTTGTCTTGTTTTTCTGTCTCTCTCTCCCTCCCTCGCTCTGTCTCGCTCTGTCCTGCTTGCTGTCTCTTCCCACATCAACAGGTGAGAAGCCCCACCAATGCAGCATCTGTTGGCGCTCCTTCTCCTTAAAGGATTACCTTATCAAGCACATGGTGACACACACGGGAGTGAGGGCGTACCAGTGCAGCATCTGCAACAAGCGCTTCACCCAGAAGAGCTCTCTCAACGTGCACATGCGCCTCCACCGCGGGGAGAAGTCCTACGAGTGCTACATCTGCAAAAAGAAGTTCTCCCACAAGACCCTCCTGGAGCGACACGTGGCCCTGCACAGTGCCAGCAACGGGACCCCTCCCGCGGGCACGCCCCCAGGAGCCCGCGCCGGCCCCCCAGGCGTGGTGGCCTGCACGGAGGGGACCACTTACGTCTGCTCCGTCTGCCCAGCAAAGTTTGACCAAATCGAGCAGTTCAACGACCACATGAGGATGCATGTGTCTGACGGATAAGTAGTCTCTTTCTCTCTTTCTTACGAACAAAACAACAAAAAAGAAACAAACAAAAAAAAAGCTATGGCACTAGAATTTAAGACATGTTTTGGTTTCGTTTTTAATTCCTTGTTTTTGTTTTCGTTTCGTTTCATTTTGTACTACATGAAGAACTGTTTTTTGCCTGCTGGTACATTACATTTCCGGAGGCTCGGGTGAATACTAGTTTTCCCAGCCTCCCTCGGATGGTGGCCTTAAGGCCTGGTAGTGCTTCAAGAGGTCCACTGGTTGGATCTCTAGCTACTGGCCTCTAAATACAACCCTTCTTTACAAAAAAATCTTTTTAAAAAAGTAAAAAAAAAAATTTTTTTTCACTTGTGAAGAGCACTACAAACACATAAGAAATCTAGAAGGCCGACTGTCTTTAAGCACGCCGCTCGCAGTGTTTCAGTGGACACCTTCACAATTCTGGCCACTTGGACTTCACAGTAACCAGTTAAGACTGTGGAATCTCACTTCTGGTTGAAAATCCAGAGGGAAGGCCCTGCTGTTTTCCACCTACCACGTTGTCTGGTTTCGTAAAAGGGCTGTGGAGGTGGGAAGGGGCAGTGGGTTTGGTGATGTGGGGAAGGCGAATGGCAGGCTTCTCCCCCAGATTCTGCTTGGGTCCACACACCCCGGCCCACCTCCTCCGTGTCCCCCCTTTCAGCAGACGCCAGGAAGACCTGGACAAGCATCAAGCAACAGTGGCTATCGTATTTATTCAGTGTCTTCGCTGAGCCACAGCCTCAGCACAATCCAGAGGGACTTTCATGAAAGGCAGGAATGCAGAGAAAACAAAGATATCAGAGGTTTGCACCTATGTTTCTAGGTACAAGAGAAGGATTATTTCCAACAATCTTTGCAAAAACAAAAACAAAAACAAAAGTGTCAGGATATATTCTTGTGGAAGAGAAAAAGAGAGAAATGGAGGGTGGGGGGAATAATAAAAAGTTCTTGAGGCTTTTTTAATTCAAAATTTTATAGAGGGGCAAAAGTGACGTTTACCAGATAGAATGCTGATTTTTTTAATATATTTACAACAGTATTTGTGTAAAAAAAAATCAAAAAAAAGTGAGATTGTTAAAAGTAATTTTTTTTCCATTTTGGTTTTGCATACACTGCCACCAGTTCCTTCTCTTATTTTATTTCACACACATATATATATTTTTTGGTAAGTCAAGACTGTTAAGGTTAGCGATACTGCTTCCAGATAGAAAGAATAAAAGTCAATTAAAGTTATATTTGAAAGAGAGGAAGGATATTTTCTTCATATTTTTTTTAATTTTTCTTCATTTTTATTATTTTAAGTATTGCCTGGGTTGATGAGGGCCTCCGGGGCCCGCCCATCCCTGCTGTAATTTGAACTGCTGCTTTGTATTTTGATATGTAGTTCTTTGACTTTTAGCAAGCTTAGGTTGCTCCACTGAATTTTTTTGTTTTTCCCCAACCGATCCATGTAGAATTCTGTTCTTGTTCATGGGAGGGACTTTCACTTTTAGAAACAGATTTCTTGGTTCATTGAGATCTTATGATTCTAGAATGTCTGTGGACTTCACTGTTTTCTTTGATGAAACACTAGTAGTTTAGATGTGTTGACAAATGGGTCCTTCCCCTTGTGGTCAGCCTGGAGGAGGAGTTCACAGAGCTCTTGCTACAGCTCCTCGCCTGTCTCGCTGCAGAGAGCAGCCACCGCAGACGCCTGGGACAGGGCCGGGCACCTTGATGCCAAAACTACTTTCTTCCTTTCCAGTATCACCTTCTGACTTTGTCCACCGTGGTTGAGAGAGCGAAGTAAGATGACCGTTCTTTAACTGCTTTATTAACCCTTGCGTTTTGGAAAGGTTTTAAAGAAAGTAACAAATTTCCCAGATGCCAACATCCATCATTCAAAGGCCACCAATCCATTGCATCCACCTAGGTGCCACTCTCGCCTCCTAGTTGGGATTTCTCTCCTCGGTCCTGAGCAGGTGTTACAGTACAGACGTTTCCAGTGATAGACAGTGTCCTGAAGGCATTCCGGCTCAAAGACAGGAATTCTTAAACGTAACAAAGACGCCAAAGGTGATTACACTGCTGGGCATATTTTTTAACACACTTAAGGGGGAAATTAAAACTTTAAACAAAGCAGAAACACCAAATTAGAATTTTAAAGGAGAAAAAAAATAGGATATTTTAATTTCAGAATTGTTTTGCATTTTAACTAATTTTTCTTTCAGCAACTTATTTTCAAAAACTGTGTAGCAAAGGAGATGTCTTCTAAGGGAAGCAGCTCTGTAATGACTAAACTGGTTTTACCCCGGGGTATTTTAGACTTTTGGGTGAGATAGGATCTTTTCCATAAGTTCTTGGTGATGTTTAGTAGGGTCAGTGCAGCTGGAGTATATGTGAGCTTGATTTGGTCCTGCGGTTCTTAACTCAGTAAATATTTTGCTAGAAGTTTCAATGTAGACTTGGATGGTTAGTTGACTGTTGAATATCACCCGTCGTGATTTCTAAGAGGAGCCCTGCCAAGAACTGTGTGTCCAAATTGACCTGTTTAAAAGTTAGTAGGAAAATAGCTTCAAAAATAAGAAAAAGTCCATTTTTCTCATGCTATTTGGCTTTTTTAAAGTAGCAATGTTGTAAGACTAATATTTCCACTTAATACCAACAGAGGGAGCAATAGCTAATTAACCATATCATGGAATTGTTTTTGATATTTTGAAAACAAGTCATTCAACCTACGAAAGAAAAAAGAAAAAAATTGACATTAAGGAAAAAAATTTTAATCCAGAGGGAAATGACATATCACTCAGCATATGTTTTAAATGAACAAAGGCCAACAGCCACTTTAAAACGTTTTTAATTATTTGACAGTAGCTTTTAAAATAGTGTCCTTATGTAAACCTTAGCAAAGTAGACCGAATTCATGATACCTCCAGAAAAGTTGACCTTGGATGCCATTATGGGCCACATTTACCTATCAGCTTCTCAAATTCGAAGGAGACCCATTTGCCTTAATGCTATTTTGCCATGTTTTTGCAAAGCTAAGCGATTGGGTTAAAAATCCAGAACGCGTAGGGGAAAAAGTTCCAGTTGGGCTTGAAAACCCAATATTCATTTCTTTCCTTCAAAGAAAGTAAGTCTTTTTTAAAAATGTCAGAGGATCCCTAAAGAATTTGTGGTGAGGTGATGTTATCATCATGACAACATGGACCATCCAGGTTTGCACAGCTGTAGACTTATCTCCACGTCTTCATGTGTGTCTGTCCCTCTGTCCCTCCCAAACATCTCACAGCCTAAAGTCATGGACAGATGGTTCTCTGGGGCGAGGGAGGCGCTAGTAGTGGAAGACCTCACCTAGAGGACCAGTGAACTTGCTGTGGGGCCATTGCCTCATTTCTGGGTCTGAAAAGGCTGCTTTCCAAAGTCACCTACATTTTAGAAAGTAAACCAATCATACCTATTTCAAAAGCATAGAGATGCTTTTAGGTTGTCGATCTTTATTTTTAAATAGTCACAAACATCTGAGGCAATGGGGAAATGTCGTTTGCTTCGAGGATAGAGGAGCACGAATCCTTTTATTTTATTACTTCAAATCCAACAGTCTTCTTGCATTTAAGACTTCATGCTACGATGCTATGAGTGCTAGGAATTTTTTTTCAGTAATAGAAGCCAGTGTTCCAGATTTAACACACCTTAGGATGATGAGTATGAGATGAGTATAAGAACCGGTATGGGAAATAATAGGTGTTCGGGTTTTTTTTTTTTTTTTAGCAATTTATGATTTCAAAATTGGGTCAACTGAACAAGGATAAGGAAAAAAATGTCAAAGAGGAAGATGTATTTCAAGGCATTTAGATACAATTTATGAAAAAGAAAATGTCTAAACACTAAAAACTTGGTAGCATCGCAGCATAGTGGACAGTTTCCATCTATTAAATGCCAATATTTGTACCCCCAAAACTCTACATGTGTATAATATGGCCCTAAACAAGGAAGGAGTTGGAACACATGATCTGATTGAGAAATAAGCCAGTCCCCCCACCCCAGATCTGAAACAAAAGTATATCAATTTTTTCTTACTATATATTTTAATTGAGTTATAAACTTGCACTTCTAATAAGAGTTGTATAGACTTTCTCCTCCCCAGATTTCCAGTGCTCTGAACCTGTTTGTTCCATGAGAAACTCTGGCAGGTAGTTTCCTGCTGATGTCCCAGCTGCAGTCCATTCCTTCTTACTCGGCATCTTGGAGCTCACAACAGCTCCTGGTCTTAGAAAGGATGACTTGGATTTGCTTTGTTTAGAAGTCATAAAGGTTTTATTTTATATCATCCCAATGTTTTACAAGGACCAAGAAAACCCTTTCCCAACCTGTGAATAGTTAGGATTTGTGCATTCTGGTGTGAAGGGAGAAAAGGTTTCCCCTGGGTGTGTCTGTTTCACATAAGTCCCAATGGCTTGACCTACGTGTACTTCCATCTTACAAGCACACCAATAACATGTGTCCAGCCCATGCCCCAAATCAGTGTTTTCCCTCAGCACCGAAGTTCAGAATGAGGTGTGCCCCTTATAGATCCCTCAGATCCCCAAGAGAGCATAATGAAGGTTTGTGTTGCCTCCTAGCTGTGACTCCCACAACGCTCCCAACACCTGTTGCCCTTAGGAAAGGGGGAAATGAAATAGATCTGGATTCACACTAGCTGTGCCCATTCTGGAGCCTCCCTCTGTTGTTATAGATGGTATTTAATTAGTTGGGGCTGGGAGCAAAGGATATCTACAGCAGGGGTATTAGATAACCCGTCCGCCTCTTCTATACCCAGTCCGCTGCTGTAGCAAAAAGAAACAAAACGAAGGTGCAACATAAGAGCAGGCACAACCCGAGATGCCCTTGGGAGGTAGGAGAGTGGGAGAGCCCTTTCTGTTGTGACATGACTCTTAAAAGAAATCTTCTGAAAGAATGCTTTAATTTAGGAATGAGTTGAAGTCCAGCAGTAA